GTAGTACAGCCGGCCGGTAATGCAGGGATTCTGCTGTGTTCATCAGTCACGCTGACTCGGTAAACACAGCAGCTCTCTACACCGTGCCTAACGCCGGCAGCCTACACGCGGAGAGGTGTGACTAAGCGGGCACCCATCCAAGTACTAACCCAACTGAGCTTTGCTTAGCCTGGATGACCGCCGGAACCACACACTACACGCGTGGCTACTGTCGCCGCTCAGTACAAAAACGGATTTCTTCAATTTTGTAAACACGAAGGGTGCAACGTTTAAACTAAAAGGCAAACACGTAAATTCATATAATTTTTTCAAGGATTGGAGCCGCAAGAATTTTCGGTCCACCTAGCTACCTCCTTCTCTTTTGACGATATTAGAAAAAAAATCTTCGAAATATCTTCCAAGATGTTTGAAAGATATTCCAAACACACTTTGTTCTCTATGCGGGCAATCACTAGACTATAGATATTTGCTCACTTTAAGAAGCCAAAATTTACTCAATTAAAATTCCATTTAATGTACTTTTATTAATAATAATAATAAGAAACTAATAATTAAATAATCTGGTTCCACCTCATCCTAACGTGATCCGAGTAATTACAAACAAACTGCTCAATTCCAGGTCACGTTGACCTGATCAGAATCTGACTAGAATCATTACAGGTGCACGAATCTCAGTAGAACTTCAGGCCCACTTAATCCGAACTTAATCAGACTGATTATCGATGGTAGAGGTACAGATCAAGAACTTCCGTACAGCAGAATTCGTCAATTTCCTGTATGAAAAAAAAAACTGCAATGGGTTATCATAGAATGCACTCAAAATGAAACCTATAAACTTTGGTTCGTGAGTTTTTTCATGATTTTCCTGGAGGAATTCCCATGGAGAGTTATGACCCTCCCTTCAAGGCCAGTGAAGTGATGAAGCCCTTAAGTTTATGCCTGAATGACAAGGCCATTTCATATTATCGATTAACTCGCAGTAAACACGAACTTCGTTTATTTTCGGATTTTATTATGATAGCTAAATTTGAACAATACAAATATGGAGATTGACTCAATTCTATGACGAAAGTTATCAGTTTAGCCATTATATGAGTATCTATTGATTTTAACCACCGTTACACAACTGCTAACGATTATTTATAGAAAGCCTATTCTAAGAAAATGTAGAGAAGCTCAGTATTATGATAACGTAGCGACAAAAGTTCTTCTGGGTATTAATGATTTGCTCGCTAATCAATCGCGTCAATTGTAATGATTGGTTAGAAATGATGATGAATTTTAGGATGGAAGGATGCTGATCTCGGCTATTGGGGGTCGAGAAAGACCTTCATGCTCTCGACAACGCGCATGAACTTGGAATGGAAGCTGCGAGAAGGGTGAAGAGGTCATTGGGCTAGTGGTGGAACGGGGTTTCTACAGCACGTGCTGCATTTTATCCTTCTTCAACACGTGCTTCCCATTTTCATGGACGAGTAAATTGCTGGATTTTGAGGAGAGGCGCGATTAAAAAATGGAGGTAATCAACTGAAAAGTATTTTTATGGGTTTCCAAGAATTGTTTTAGTTTTTCCAATCCATTTCATCCACACGTGTCATTTCGTAAAGATCTGCAAATCTTTCAAATTTTGGTTTGGCTGTTTCGGAGTTGTTGGTTTTGCAAGGTCATTTAGCCGTGCTTGAGGATTTCGATGAAAAGCAATAGGATTTTATTGAGTATTTGTTGTCGGTACAGAATAGTATATTTCGGGGCTGTTAGGATGGGGTTTTTTTACTCGTGTGGAGTTCGCGTTTGAGACGCAGGTGAGAACTGGCGAACCACACTGGTGAAACAAATCCGTCCCAAAATCCCGAATAGTGAAACTCTTTCCCTCTCGTATACCCTTTCGGGTCTTCACGATTTGTTCCCTTCGCATCGCCTAACCCACTATACCGCATATGCCGAAAGGGAGGCGAAAACCTCATTAGAGGGGGAAAACCTGCCCCGGTGCAGTCGTCCTGTGACAGGACTAACACTCGACAGTGAGACCGAGAGAGTAGAGCGCAATAAATTTTGACCCCCCGGTAGCCGGGATCGAACCTGGATCATTGGCATGCTAGTCGAGCACTCTAACCGCACGGCCACTACCGTCGGCAAAAGCCGACATAGTATTTTTCTCTAGTGATTTTCAAGCTTTCGAGTTTGGAAAGTATGCAATACCCATTCCCAGACGAGAAATCGTGAAAAGCACTACGGAAACAGAATATGAACTGTGGCGGAAGTGCATCGGAATAGGGTTACTTTGTATAGAATTTTTACTATTTACGTCGATTGATATTAATAATTGCATAATTCACCTGTGTCTGAAAATTGATACTTTGTGGACTCAATACTTGAAGATTCGCGAAAATATGTTGAGTAAAAAATGTTTATCTGCGGAAAATGCATAAATTTAGTCAGATCACGTCAGTCTGTATCACCATTATTAGGCAAGATATTCCAAATTATTTATTTAAAGACATGCAAATCTGCAATATCTTTGTCAATTATACGAGAGATTGAACTTACATATTTTTTGTAGACGAACCTTTTTTATCCTGAACTTTTCAGGATAACAAGTATCAAAACCCCGTATCAACCGTTCAGCTGCAAATGATTTGTTATTAACTCGACTATTATAAATTGACAGGTTAAAATCCCACCTAACCGTCTGAAAGATCACCCTATTGCACATACTAATAGTTTCCATTTCCGTAACTATGTTTTTCTTTAAATTCGGTGACTTAGTTCAAATGATGTGTCACGTTGGAAAGTTGAAATGAGTTCTGAAAGTCAAGACTTTACAAGACTAGGGCACAAAGTATTCACTTTGCTCCCGCTTTTCAGCCAGCAAAACACGAAGTTTCCTCTGCAGGCATGTTGAAATAGTATATTGCGCGCCAAGGAGGGATAACAGGACATTTTAACCGGCGTGTGTATTACCGACCTATGAGGCGAAGCCGAGGGTGGTAAACATGCGGGTTTGAATGTTCTGTTTTCCTTTCTCGGTGCACATTGTTCTTTCCGTCATCACTAAACGTAAAAGTTTGATTTTTCTTCGTAAATGACGGGAAGAAAGTAGGTTATGTCATCCCGAAAAAAATCCTCAAATCAACAGAAATCTGAGGGATAGAATGAGCCACATTCTTCCCATCATTTGGAGTGTAAAATCGAACTTTCCGTGTAGGTATGACAGAAATAGTACATTGTGCCTCTAGGAAGTCCGGTAATTTCAGATGAAATGTGAGTTTATAATCACATGAGTCAGAAAATACTTCATTTCCGTGAGGCACACGATATTTTATTCTTGTAGGAAGTCCCTAAGGGAATAAAGAAATTTTTCCAACATCTTAAAATATTGACAAGTGTTTCACAACCATGTGCAAACAATTGAAGTTGAATCGGAAAAATTTCATGTACGATCTTTCTTCTCAACTCTAGCGATATCGCATATTGCGGATATATTATTTTATTTCATCTAACCCATGAATTTTATCTCATATTTCATCAATCAATGAGTCAATTCCATTGATAGATACGTTTTTTGCTTCTCAATGGAAGTTTAATATTTGACCGATTTTCTGATTTCTTAATTTCAATTGCAAGTTATCTGAAATGTTCTAACACGCGAAAAAAACGATGTTTTCAGATCATGATTGCACGTATGTGAGGGAAAATGTGAAATTTCGAAGATTAATTTGGAGAAAATTCTGCATAAATACCGTTAAATTTGTAGCCAACGATCTGAGTTCTAACTTGTGATAGCTATCATTACCCTATTACTTCGATGCGTCGTTTCAGCTGAGTCGGTCTAGTAGTTCCTGAGATATGGTCACCTTTCCTGAATATCTTAAAAAGGACTGCAAGGATTTTCATTTTTTTCAAAATACTCGACTCAGTCGGTCCTATCTACATCAATTGAAATATCTAGATTTGTTCTGATAAAATTTCGTGATATCGTCGGTTTTTCCTTATATCATCATAAACGTACCAATAAACACCGTATACTATATCATATACCAATAAAAAACAGCCATAACTTGAAAATTTAGTACACTTGTAGCTCTCACGATATTAAAGGCCGATATTTTGAATGGGCGTAATCGACCAAGTGGTTCCAAAGATGCTACACCTTTTGCCGGAATGTATTTCCTTGAATATCTCCAGAACTATCCATCGGATTTCAATTTTTTTTAATACTCGCTTTAGTGGCCACGATACAAAGCTATGAAAGTATGTATACCCGTTCGGACATAAAAAAGCGAGATATTGCAATTTTTCCGTTTTTTGATTCGAATGTTTAATTCCCTAACTTTACCTGGAAATTATGTGGAACGGTTTGAAACCTGAAAATACGAAGTTCAAGGACCATGTATGTGTGCGAATCGAAACAACTTTTTGAAAATGGAAAGCATAAACTCATAAATTAATTCCGAAAATCTGAAATTTCGTTCGTTCACAGATCCTAATATGGATTTGATCTGTGCTAAATTTGAGCCCGATCGGTGGAATAGTTTTCCAAATATCGGTGATTGGTTCTGACATTCTCTTTGCAAATATCTATGCGATTGATTTCCTTTTTTTTTACATGTGCTTCTCAATGTGCTCTATATAGATCAGTCAGAATATCTATAAGCGTCGCAATAGCTCTGGATGCATTCTGAAACTTACTACGAATTGTATTAGTATAAATAAAAAGTCGAAAAAAAACTACTGCATAAGGGAATGGTTAAATGTCTCCTGCCAAATAGGCTCGGTCAACTGCTCGTTACTTAGTATGTTAATCGTCAGGTGATCAGTGACGCGGAGACCTTTTTTCCTCAAAATTTATAACACAATTATGAAATTATAAAATTACTACTTGCATTCAACGATATTATCGTTATGCTTACACTTAGTTGAACTTCAGCTTCCAGAAAAGTGAAAGGGAATTTGAAAAAAAAGTTGTAGAAAAAGAGTTTGTTTTAGTTTCATTATTGACTTTATTCACCCACGATATTTTACAGAATGCTATGTAATTTTTTCTTATGTAATCCGATGACAATAGTTCAGAATATGGAATAACAAAAAGAACCATATAATAAAATAATTCATTCTGTCATCTCAACGATTATCAGGGCTCAAATGTAACGACAAATTTCTAAGTAATCATCTTCACGACAATTTTTGTCCAGTAGCACCTTAATCGTTCATTATATGTAATTCGTTAATCAACACTTAACGTAAACTTACAAAATATTATCTGTTATGTGAATCTGAAAATTTAGAAGGTGCGGTGTGGATTCACTTTTTCATTGAGCCTTTTTTCATTCCATAAAATAGAAAATTAGTCTAATGATTAGTACAGTGTGGGCAACGGGTTAGTCCCACCTCGTCACAGTTCATGCACCTCAGAGCAACGAATTCATTCATGAAATTGTTCCACCTTGGGGACTTTTTGCTGCCGTTACACACTGAACAGGGGATGATGCCAGCACCTCCGCAACAGGGACACACCTCACGTTTCACTGGGGACTGCAACAACAAAAAGGTCATTAAGTAAAACAAAAATTTTACAAAACATGAAACCAAATATTGCAATTTAGGGTGGGTGAATTAATAATTAATCCTCATCAGTATTTGGCATTCAGTGTTTGTATCAGTTTAAACCTTGCTTATTTAATTAAAAATCAATTTGAAAGGTCCTACTGGTATTGCGATTAAGGTGGTTGTCGCGCGACAGTCTCTGTAAAAAGTTTATCCGCTGTAAAACGGGCCAGTTTAGAACACAATCTTTTAGCGGTATATAGTCTCACTTGATTGATTGCATTGTGCATGGATAGCTAAAGCATAACTGTATATTTTCCATATTAACTATTTTCAATTATATAAATTTATGAATTTCCGATAATTATATTCCGTAAACCAAACGGTCAATCGATTTGATTTTTTTTTCTGTATTTCCTCCCACGATTAAAATTCCACTTTTTTTTTATTTCTGAAACTGTCGAACCGTTGATTTTTAAAAAATTCTAATCGGCAAAACTCCATTTAAACACGTGTTAAATCACTCGAATTTCAAAAATTTATATCTCAAGTCCAAAACGGTCAATTGCAAACGGAAAAGGCTCATTTTGTTGCTAATTTTTCAAAGTATTCACCATAAAATTTTTAACGAAAACTGTCGAAAAAAAATTTTACGCGACAACAACCTTAGAGGGAAGGACGATAACTTGTCTACTTTCTCTATACTAACGGCCGGTTGGCCATTTGGAAAAAATACAGGGATTATCAGTAGCCAGATTAGTCTCATGAATGGAAGGCCATTTTTTAAATAATTTACGCTTTGATCCTATTTCTAACATTTTTCAAAATTATCGTCCCTTGCCAAATTTTTTCTAGTCTAAGTGGATTCAGTTATAATGCCAGAAAATTTTTTTCTGAAGTAAGCTGTATTTTTTAAATACGTGAAGAAGAGAAGTAAACATTTTTTAGTCTCAAAGAAGACTAAAAATAAGCCAGCTAACTCGGAACGAAAATGACACTTGGTTCAAGAATTGGTGAATTGATTTCTGTACGCGAAGAAAAAAAATCACGAAATATTACGTCGCAGTTTCATAAACGTCTGGCAGAGTATTATTTCGTAAAATGTGGAAATAATTTGAATTTTTACAATTCGCGAAAACGCGAATCGATTGATTAAAGTTGCAAACAACTGAAAAACCTCTTGCTCTGTAATATAAGGGATCTTTACCGCGATTATGCCCGAAGGGACAGGATCCAAAATACACGTTGAGGTGGATGTAAAATTAGTCTCCCCACTGGGGAGATCTAGCAAATGGGGAGAGGAGAGCCACCAGGATTAAATACTAGCCTTTGCAAAATCATTTGTTATACCTTTAATGAGTAAAGTGAATTCAAATTTGGCATAGAAAATAGGTAAAACTACAAATTAGCCCTCTGCAGGCTAGAATCTAGTTGGGTTAGGATACTTTTTTTGTTGTCTGGGAATGCTTTTGTGGTTTTCCCGGGGTGAAATACTTATCGCTTTGCCTTCAACCCTACTAGGGTGTTAATTTTTAGATAAGTCTCTTTGTCGTGTAATCTAGAAACATTTTTTGAAACTTGTAAAGTTAAAGCGAAGGCCTCATTTCCTTGGAAATTTGTTCAATAGTAGTGTTATGAGTAATGGAGATAAGGTTCTTTGTAAGAAAGTTTAGATATGAAGTAGGGTGTCAATTTATATCATCTCCTAGGGGCACAATTCATATTTTCTGAATTTACGTGATTCCAGAGGAGCAAAATATATTTTTCAATAAACTTATGGAATATAGACATGGGGAGAATTAAATTGTGGACATTAGTAAGTAGTCCAGTCAATTTAAACTTTGATTCTACAATCTAATTTAACTGTCTGCCGGCTGGAATTAAGTTGAAACATCTTGATATGTTTTGCAGGGCATTTTAGTGGATCAACTGGCATTTTTTTTATCGACAGCTGAATTATTATAGGGTTGCAATATATTCACCAGCCAGATTGATTGGAGCAAAGTACGTAAGAGAACTGCTGTGCACGTCACAGTTGTGCACTTTGTACAAAGCGTTCCGTATTTTGTGCTGGGTGTTATAGTTTTTCTATTTCCGGATTAAGGAAAGGTTTCGCAACCGAATTGTCATTGGGGTTGTCATTCACGATGTTTTGATGAACCCTTCCACGTTCGGGTTTTATCAAAAGCACATCTGGAAAGTAGACATGGTTAAGAGAAAAACTCAAACTGTACTTTCAGGGGGCATAAAAGTTTATTAGCCTTTCTCTGCTAAGGGTAACCCGTGGTCTCACTGGCAATCTGTTTGCAGCCTCTTGTTAGATTTTGTCCTGTGAAGGGCCTCCGGACTACATCGAGTTCGAACAAAAAAAGTGAATAGAAATTATTTCTGAACAGTCAGAGTGTTGTCTCGGCATTTTTCATTCCCATAATCCAATAGCGTAGAATAATCTGATTATTTTGAAAAACAAGGTTTTATGACCATATGCAGGAATCAACGCAGAATCATTCAGTTTAATTTGAACCCATATGCGAAACTTATTAAAACCTTCTACAAGTTTATTCTTCCAATGCTACTAAGACTGAATGAATTCCCCTTTATTCAACCTTGAATTGAAATCCATGGAGACCCCGTTATGGAGTGGGATATATTGTAGATACTGAATAAAATAAGTACAAAAAACGAATAATGGTCATGAGGAGAGGTGTTGAACGACGTTTTCTGCCTTGCAAGGTAACATTCTCTACTCGCAGATATCTTTCAGAAATAGAGAAAATTTACGAGTTCATTGGTTGCAATACCCGAGGAGGGAAGTTGTAGATAGTCAAGTTGGATAAAAGTGAAAGGACGCAGGATTTGTACATAACCTTGTGGGTATATAATATGGGTATGCAATATGTTTTTTTGCCACGGTTTCCTATTCCAACCAGAAACGAGCAATTCAACTTTTCCTGAATTCCAGGAACGTTACACGAAATTCAATTCTTTGAGGAAGGATGGCGTATAATTGGCGTACGAATCCAGAGACAAAACGGGTTGATATACTAATTTATGTCACTCGGCCTGTCCTCACCTCGTCCTTTTATTGCCCTACGAAGGTAACTGGCCGCTTATCACCTTCCTTTTTACTTACTTCCTCCTTACTTCCCTGGACCTTGGCTCGGATTTTTATAAAATATTTTGCAAAAATACGTTTCAGGCCGTATGGCATATGTTACTTGATATTACGAGGCCCGACTAACCCAGTACTTTTTTACCCAACGGAGCTAAGTAAAAAGAAAGGCGATAAGCAGTCGCTTACTTCCCTAAGGCAATTAAAGTACGAGATTAAGGCGGGCCGAGTGACATAAAAATGGTTTTTACCTCAAGGTAAAAATAAAAATATGATTGATTATTACTTTCAATTGAGTGGGTACTTCGAAGTCGATTGTGTATTTTACGGAGGTAATCATGATTGATTTTTATGGTTTTTTTCTAAAAAATGAACGTGTTTTTACCAGTCTCTTTGACCACACTCTCCCATACTTTTTACTTTTTTTCTCCATTCGGTTTATATTTTTAAGTGTGGAATCACCAAAGTATAAAATGTGCCGGAAATAATTCCGTTGACTTATAAATATGTATTCTCTTGCAGAAAATAGTTTTTTTTAGAAACTTTCCAAGATGAATCACAACAGAAACTCTTTTAAATTTGCTTTTTGTTATGAATGAAATCGTTATGACTTCATTTATGTGAATAACAGATTTTTCGGTTCATTTATAGAGTGCCTTGAATAGTTATAAGATGTATGGAGAAGATATGGGTCTCAAAACTTGGACTATTTTCTGAATAAAGATTCTTGTCGCATGGTTCAGCGCCAGGGATGTGGAATGACGTTACATCTTCAATTTTGTCATGCCAGAAATGACAATCAGTGGTAATATGCCAATATGGCCCCTATACAGGGTGTCCCAGAAGTACATGCTAATCCTTTACCAGCATGTACAGGGGGTGATTCTGAGCCGAAAAGTCCTTTTCCACTTTTGGATCAGAAGCACCCCCCCCCCGGAGATATTGGGGTAAATAGGATAAACTTTGTTTCATATTCAAGAATAAAAATTATGGAGAAAAAAAAAAATTTTTCATCAATTGGATTAGAAGTTACCCTTCCTATTTCATAATATTTTTTGGAATTAAATTATGTTGTTATGAAAATATAATGACTCAGAGTTTTTGATTTTTTTTAACATTATTTGAAATTGAAAATGAAATTTTTTTCCATTTTTTATCAATTTTTTTCTCCTATCGTACATTTGAATGGCTGTAGGGGTTAAACGGTACAAAATAGGGGTTAAGTGCTTAATATGTTTTTTATGGGAAATATTTTGCTCTTCAAATTATATTCGACCTTTTTTTTAATAGGAGAGCCAATGAGGCTGCAGCGTTAAACGGCAGTACGTCCGTGTGGCTCCGACACATGCATGAGCGTCGCCCCTTCCAGGCAGCGGACGATGTGTGCGGAACTACACGGACGTACTGTCGTTTAACGCTGCAGCCTCATTGGCTCTCATATTTACCCCAATATCTCCGGGGGGGTGCTTCTGATCCAAAAGTGGAAAATGACTTTTCGGCTCAGAATCACCCCCTGTACATGCTGGTAAAGGATTAGCATGTACTTTTGGGACACCCTGTATACCATATATATATATATATATACATGACGTCATTTTTTTTGTCAGAATTTCTGTTATATCGACCATTGCGATAGGTCCGTCATCTAGTTACATTGTCACCATAATTCTTTACTTTACTTTTGGATACCCCCACTCCACGTAGCTACCACGTGTAATCATGCCCCGCACTCGTGAAATGGACGGAAAATGTTATATGTACTGAAGTTAACATAAATTTCTATTTTAAGAAAGAGAGTAGGGAACACGTGTTTGTATGTAAAATTGATAGTATTCATGTTAATGATTTTATTGTCACAATTTCATATCATAATGATTTGATGTCTTGATTTCTCATTTCACACGTTTGTTTCTCTTTGTACGAAATTGTACATCATATAAAATTATGTATTACGTACTGTTTGATGGAACTTTTTAAAGCACCTGTCTGACAGGTTTATTTTTCGTCAGTTGGCTTGACCTAACGTCGGTCTTTACCGGCCTACGCTGGTCAGAACTCCGTTAGCCGGGCCTGGGCCTCGTGACTAAAAACAGTGTATGTCAATCACAATGGTGATTCAATTCGTTAGAAAAATACTTTTCCCTCATACCTACACGGAAAGTTCGAGTTTACTCCTCAAATGACGGAGATAAAGTTGCCTATGCTATCCCTCAAATTCCGTCAACTTGCATCAAGGAAGGAAAAAAGGACACCTAAACCCGCGTGTTTACCACCCTCGGCTTCACCTCACGTCGGTAATACTCACGCGGGTTAGAATGCCCTGTTTTCTATTCTTAATACATAATATACTATATTAGATGCACAGCAATTAGCGCTGGGACCTTGAAGATTGAGACGCTTGGGATTGTATGATTGCAGAGATTTATTTAGGGTGAAAATATTCTAAATGATGGTCGTTGATTGGGGTAAGTTTGGTTAAGTTTGTGATGATGTTTGGATTTAGTAGCGGTTATTGGCGAATTAAATATTGGAATATTTTATTAAAGACTGAATTTATTAGGGATTAAGTTGTAAGAGGAGAGAATTTGTTCTTAATGGTTGAACTTTTGGGGTATACCACAATAACCAGTTAAATATAACGCCACATTCTTAGTGATGATCGATCAATGACGCTGATGATTCGTAAATTTCGAAATAATTAGATGAAAAATGACGGTCACATGATGAAATTTGGTCAGATAACAATGGATCGTCATGTTTTCCCCGGTTACGTGATCGGTACTGACAGGTCCGGTGATGTCATTCTTTCACATTCTTGCTTAACAACGAGTAGATGCAGTTTGGCGGCATCATAATTTAGGCTGGACTTGATGCTGAACTGTATATACATTTTGAAAAGCACGATAACTTAACATAAATACCCGATAAATTTTTAAACCCGAAGGCTATTCGATAGATTACTCGCTCCATTCAAATCTCGGTCAATGGAAACTGTGATTTGACATTTGACGACCGCCTTTTCTTCTCAGTCGTTTTGATAAATATCCCTGCTCTTTGATATCTCTCCAATTATCTCCGGGCGAAATTCTACGAAAATCAGAGGTTTATGGTTTAGAAATCTCTGTGATATAAACAAAAAAATTACGATATCATACTGCTCTCGTTATAACAATTGGTTGAGATTTGAATAGTGCTGAATACTTAGTTGAAAACCCTCTAAAATGTACAATTGCTTACAAATTTATATGAATATACGCAATTTACATTCTTCTTTAGAATACTCGGAATACACAGAAAGAAAAATACTCGAAAAATTACAGAGCTTTCATGTTTTCGTGGGGTGACCTTGATTTTCGGGAAAAAATACTGTAAGTTCCGTAAAAATTTTCGTAGCGAGCAGGAATTTTTATGAAACTTTCAGGACAATTTTATGGCACCTCCAGTACTTTTTCCCGAAAAGCAAGGTCACCCCACGAATACGTGAAAGTTCCGTAACTTTTCCGATATTTTTCTCTCCGTGTACAAGCCTACAAGCTTGTTTATAAAATTCTATGGTTAATTGTCTCACGTAACAACCAACCCTACAATTAGATTTAACTCGCATTTGGCTTGCAGAAATCATCCATATATGTTTTGCAATTTTCGATAAATTATTAAAAATTATTAGGTCATCAGTCTGTCTTCTCAGCTCTTGACGATTTCTCCTGGATTTTTGAATTCATTAACACATAACCCAGCGACCTTCAGCTTGTAAGATCATCTCTTGAATATTAATTAATTTGGAATATCCTCGAACTAGCGTCCCAGATTTTTTAAATTCCTTTGAAAAATTAAAAGAGTTTTTAGAGATGATTTTTAACATTTCTTCTAGATAAAACTAAACGGAAACCCTGATTTAAAGTAACTGTGGGAAAGCTAATTGAAAAAAATACAACGTCAAGTAGAATCTTTCACGCACGAATTCACTCAAATAGATGTATAATAGATGGACAGAGAACATATCCATACTTGTAATACTGCTAATGGACCACAAATTTTCCAGTAGAATTTGAATAAATGAAAAAATTAAATTAAATAAAAAATATATTTACTTGTTCGTTTTCCATACTTTTTGTCGATTTTTGGCCAATTGTTGACCAGATTAACTTGTGTATAACATTTTGAACTTTGGTTATTATATAATGAAACATGAGGTCTCATTATTACAAGAGTTTACGCGAAATGAAGAAAAAAAGTCGCATAATGATGCGAAGAGAAATATTTACTTATAATGCCACGAGAATTTCGAAATTATTGGATATTTACTGATGGTTCGTTGCAAACAAATGAATGCGTTAAGTTTTCCAGGTTAACAAATCACGAGCGTGTACCGCGGTATTTTAAGGAACAAAGGAAATTTGAAAAGATGGGAGAAGACATTTCACTCAATGAAGAACTAATGAAGAACTATTGAATATTGAATTCAATATGTCAATTTCAATCTGCAGCTAACACGATCCAACAGTTTTTTACTTCATGTATATAGTTAAGAGACAAAATAATGGAAGAATATCCAGTATAATCGCGAGTAGGCTCGTCGAATAGTGCATTCAGTTAACTGAAATTTGGATGGAAAAAATAATGAATAAAAAATGCCGATCTTTTTCTTTAGTTCTGAAGCGAAAAATTGTCAAGAAAAATCCTACGGAACTATTCTAGAATTTTTCGGAACGTTCGGTAATGTTTGCTTGAATATTCTGTGCAAAATTGCGAAACCATCACATAAATTTTCTTAGCCACTTCCGTAATCGGTCAGCGAACTAAAGTTTCATAATAATTGTGTCGGCCATTGAATAAGAATGAAACCCAAAAGCGGTACATTTATAGTTCTATCCACTCTGATTCAGTCGTATAGTCATCTGAATTCCCAACTATAGTATTTTAAATTCAATTTCAATTAAAAACGGTCGCTAAATTTCCTATTTGTCTTGAAAATTCAGGAGTGGGCTTTCCATCAATGAAAATTGATTTTTTAACAGAAATTTGAATTTTTTATGAATTGACAATTCAGAAAAATTATTGCTGGAATTTTTTACTATTTCACGGTGTTCAGTGTAATATAGCCCTAAAAATTGAAAATTATCAGCACAGCGTTAAAAAATTCACTGAATGATCAATGAAAAACTCTAGACACTCTTATGACTTTGATATTAAAAATTTCAAGTTTAGTTACGTGAAATGTCACGTGCGATTTTCCAACAGTATCGGTTAGACCAACAATATTCCAACAATATTGTGATTTACCACTACCACTGAATTTTCATTATCAAGTAATACTAGCGCAGGCTTCCGATCAGTTTTCTTGTACTCTGATGGATTTCTCTCAATTAGTTAATGTACCAACACCTTCTACTACCAGCCCATGAAACTCTGGATAAAATCTTGAGTGTCATCTCCCACTCATAAAAAAAATTACATGACAATGATTTAACACTTCCAGTTCTCTGTGTTTCTGACAGATATGCAATTTTTATTTTTCATGTCCGTTTGTTCTCTTACCTTGTATGGTTTGAGCATAGGTCGCAATTCTCCGGACTCGTTGAGCCGTTCGACCGCGTCAGCATCCTGGAAAAATAGGAAAAATGAAGTGACATTAGAAATACGATATAGTGTCTCATATAGTGGTTTATTTAATTTTTTCTCGTGGTATGTTTCTTATTCCAATCCTCAGCCATGCGATTATTTAAAGATCCACGACTAGTTCACCCTTGGAGTCCATTCACTTCAACGTAAAAGGGACTATACAAGAGGTTTGTTAGAGGTAATACTAATGTTAGCAAGGTGAAGTGGCTTTTTTCCATCATTATATAAGATAATCATGTGACGCAGTGAGATTGGAATGCAGTCCCCTTTTATTCCGATAATAAGAGACATGGAGGAGTTCTACAGGATACCCAATGGTACTGGGATAGCTGTTTCGCCTTCTCCACTCTCTCAAATGTTTCCTTCGACGTCCTTGGATCACATAGCTTGACATTTCACTTACGTGTGGAATTGTACTATCCTGTCATCTACATCGGCATTCTGGTCATTGAAAAAAAGGCCAGAGACAGTGAAAGCTCTTTAATGTATAAAAAAAATGGTTTGCTGCTAAAAAAAAGGTTTTTGTAATAACAAAACTGTTTTTCTTCATGTTAGGTTTTTTTTACGCTACGTAAAAAAGGTGTTTTCAATTTTTTTTATCAGGAAGTGGCATTTGCTATTATCCATATCCTTTTGAGTTGTATGAGCCCGACTTCCTAAGAAAAAAATTTGTGTAGGCCTCACGCGATTGGGTATTATATTCCGAATAATGCGCCTAATAGGGTTTTATGGCCCAGGCTCCCAAGATTCCGACTTTATCCATGTCAGTTTTAAATTTTTTTTATTATCATTTGCATTAAATGAATTCTTTAGTGATCGATATTATCCCACAAATGATCCCACCACCAACTGAACGCCAACAAGCTGAAGCACGATGATTGATATTCTCACAGGCCCTCCTGCAGAAATTCAATTTGAATTATATTGAATATTTTTCACTCACTCATTATTTCAACAGAAAAAGGTTGGGAAGATCAGGGTGCAAGGTTATCCTATAGTGTATAATGATTTTAAATCCCGTCAACACCCCTAGAAATTGTCATACGCGAATCAATTACCCTTAATGTTAGTGTTTATTTGTATTTTTGTCCATCTTCACATTTCATGGTTCCGGGAATGGTCAAAATCCTTGGTGTGAATCTACTGAATAATTACTATCCATTTTCCATTACTTCTTTCACAAAATTAAATAAGTAAATCGAAATGAAGACTTACCCCCATATGCTGCCCATCGATAAACAGTTGTGGCACGTCAATATGATCACAGCCAAGTCTATCCTTGAGCTCCGACTGAAATTGCCCACTCTTGAATAAATCACGCTCCTCATACTGCACCATATGTGTGCCCAGGATCCTCAACATCTTAACGCATGCAATAGTAGTCTTTCTCACGACCCTCATTGACGTTGTATAAACGACCACTTTGCCGGCATCCTTCTGTTTGTAATTCTGCACAACAAAACAAAGCAAAACAATTTGCTTTTTGAAAAATTCAGATCTAACGAAATGTTTGAGCGTTTTTACCGGCATAGCTTGACTTATGAAATTCCGATTCATTTACGAAAATGGTTTTTTTGTCACTTGCCCGGCCTAACCTCATTCATTTGAGGCCTAGACCTAGTAAGTATCAATCATCAAGTATGACCTGATCCAGTCTTGACTAGAACTTGACCAAAATTTCCACTCGGGATTATTTATAAGCCTAGACCTGGTCACAACTCGGTTAACTGGATGTCATAAAAATGATTTTCCTGACAAATTCAATGACAATGCACGCCTTCGGCTAGTTTCGTATAGTATTTTATGTCATTGACCCCAGAATCCGCAATTCTACTGAAGAAGTCTGAAGAATGAGGCGAGGTTAGACTCCTGCGTTTCTGTATCAAAAACTTCACTTTCTTAAAGTTCGCCCTAAGATCTGCGGACTAGCTCACACGGCATCACAGACGGTTCATGGCGTTAAAATCAAGGTCGCCCCTCGGTAACTGTTATCAAACTGCCACAGAGAGTCCTCTCACCAATATTAGATTAGTTACCAATAACCGTTTGGTTACCAAAGTGTCCACCTCGGATATATATATTTATATATATATATCCACAATAACGTTCGGGCTCCCAGGTACCATACGTACATCGCTACGTACCGTAGAAAAAGATCACATGACCTTCCCTGACTTTTTTTTCAGTATTTTTCAAAGGGAATTTTAGAAATTTTGAGAATTTGGCAAACTTTGCTCAAAGATGAATGAATAGACGATCGCCAATTCTCAGCGGGATAATTAGCTATCTTGCATAGTTTCCGTAAAATTTGCCAAATTTCCAACTTTTTTGTAATTTTTAACATTCTTTTGGAAAAATGTTGAAAAAAAGTCACTGAAAGTGATGTTCACATGATCCAAAATATCCTCAAACTTGAAGATTTGATGATGTCCAGAAAAGATTTTCTCATATGTGTCCTTGCATTTACGAACCCAATCACAGATTTTATACCATTGAGATTTCGTAAATAACGAGAAAGAGAGCGTTAATTACGATGTTGGACCCCGTAATTCACGAGCTCGGAACTTGTGATTCACGATATAGGTTCTCGTAACTTACAAGTTCGGAATCGTAAATAACGGAATCGATCTCGTAATTTATGACATAAAAATTGTAATTTACAGCAAATCTGGGAGTAATTTACGCGGTGTTTGCGTACTTTACATTTTTAAACTCGTGATGTACGAGATTAAAAATTTCGTAAATTACATTTCAAGTCCCATATTCTAAGTATAGTACTTTCTGTATGAGGAGTTATTTCTCCTGCTGTCATTAGCCGGGAGAATTATGTTGGCATAGCTTGTTTGAAATGAGAGTTGTAACTTAAGCCACTATATTTCATTACAAAAAAGTCATTATATATGTTTCGAGGCTTGAAGCCTTTCTGTGAGAAATACATTATACCTTCGAAGTACGATTTGAACTGATTTGCGGGAAAATCGACTTAAACCGTTTTACCACATCTCTACTAAATTCAACCTAATTGTGCCAACAATCAAGAAAAAATGATTGTGACACTTTCGAGTTAATAAATTAATTTCACTCGAAAGAATTAATGACTAAACTTTTATATTATTTTTTTTTTGTTTTTTGGTTGACAGTTGTCACGGGTGTTTGAACAAAGAATGAAAATGCACTTATGGTTTGATTTCACCTTTCATTTAATCACAAGTTTGAATTCTTCACATTTGCACTGTTACTATGGGTTTATAAAGAGAACTAGGTTTTTCTACTGGGACCAACTCTGATCATCGAAGCTAATCTCAAAATATGAAGTCTTGGGAGGAACTTGGACACTCGCGATGTGGTTCGATTGTTTGTCTACTTGGTACTGTTTTCTTTTTCCCTACACTCCTTCCTCCATTATCTTCCGAGAGGGGTAACTAGTTTCCTAAATTTTAAGAAGGGATGAAAATTGT